TTCCCGAAATTTCTCCAAATTTTTCATATTGTCACCAACACATGTAGTTGACCATGCGCATATTTCCCCCCCCCATATCGCGTACGCAGAAAAATATTTTTCCCCCACCGAAAGAGGAAACATGCACGTCGCGAAGATAAGGTGACTGAAAACTAACGAATTTTTTAAAACCAACCTACCACAATTTTACCAAATTCTATTTTCTATTTAAACTGAAAACAAACATTGACTGCGAATAGATCACATGGTAGCATAATTCGCAAATTTATGGTATCGAGGAAGAAGATGAAAAAAAACCTCAGTGGAAATTTCAAATTTCCCCCCAAAATATCAAAATTTTTTGCACCAAAAAATCAACCTCAAAACTTCAAACGGGAAATCTCATATATGTCTGCTTATTCGTACATGCTCAACATCTTCAACAACTCGATGAAAAATAAAGTACCAACCATAAAAAAATATTTAAACTTTTTATGGAAAAATACGCACATAATCAACTACACGTGTTGGTGATAATACGAAAATTTCGAGGAAATTTTGTGAAATTTTCATTGGTTTCTGTACACCTATACTCGATTTTATATGTGAACTCCTGAGCTCAGCTGAGCAAAGCGAACGTATATTCCTACTCCAACACTACTTCCCTTAGTATTACCTGTAGGGGCGATGCCTTTGCTCAGCATTAGGAAATTTTAAGAAGAACTAAGATTAAATCGGAAAGTGAATTCGCTGCTCGGAAGCTTTCACAATGTCACAGTACAAAATCGTTCTTGAAATTCTACATTTTCTATTTTTGAGAAAATTCAGGTTGAAAATTCGAATCATCCAACAACGTTGAAGGGAACTTTTTTTAATCAAAATTTTTCGGCGGGATTTGATCTTGCGTGAAATTACGATGTAAGATGCTGCTACATCATTATTGTCTCTGTTCCAATCCACCGTAGAACACAATATATCTTTCTAGGCTCAAGGACCTCCTCAGCTGAGCTCATGCGCCTCGTTTGAGTATGAACAGGCAACCTTGGAAGGCATTCTTGTCGTGTAGTGTTATTTCCATTGGCAAATCACTAACATGGTTTACCATGTTGTCAGTAGACTCACACGGATTCGGATCCAAAAGGCTCTCGTACTTGTTACACTGCAGGCCTTTCAACCCAACTAGAGGCTATGAACACTACAACAACAATAACAACAACAATTCTCATGCACTATTCTCCGGGGTTTTGGGCGCATCAGGCTCAGATACGTTGAGTATCTTCTGTGATGGTCGACCGCAGTTATGCTAAGACGATGATGATGTACCTGTCAAGTCCATGAAGAGATCTATCTCACTATTGTTGCGATTAATGTCACTTCTAGTGCATGAGTATCACTCTGTAATCATCACAGCATCCATTAGCCTTATTCCTAATGGACGTGTGGTTACGCATCCTCCTTCATACATATTGAGTTCAACAGCAGTGACCTTACTATACTCTTTAGCGCACTCGACATACAACCCACACATTCGAATGAGAAGTGATCTTGTTGAGTGAAGTGTCGTAGTAAGATCCAGACAGTTCGGATTAAAAACTTCTACTGCTGTACTACTACCTATTCTTGAGTAACATCTAGCTGTGGCAAGGTCTTATTAAGAGAGGTGAAAATCCAAACCATAGAAGTATATAAATTTCCTCTTCATTTTTCTACCCTATTGTGTGTTAATTTCCATTATCATATAAGTCGTTATATTACATAATCACTACCTCCCAAATGTCCTCAGCCCTTTCCTCGCCATTTCACACTGTGAAGATCCGTATACATACTCCCTTCCTCAAGAGTGATACCATTGCAATAAAGAACATGGCATGTAATAAAAACTCAGATTGTTATACTTTGCATC